GATGTGTCAGCATGGGCTACCACATCCGCAAATGTTCAGAGGATAAAAATGAAAGCAGCATTGATGAGCAGCTCTCAGTAAACAAGCTTTCATGTTTTCAGGCTGACAGGCTTTTGATGTAAGTAGTAGTTTGAGATTAGAGGATATCAGTTCAGAGGATATCAAGCTAGCCTTTAGAGAAAGAGAGAAGAAGAGGCAGCGGAAGAAGAATGTGCAAGTGCAAAGGGTGATAGTGATGTTTAAAAAATAATTTTAAAGATCATATTCCCTCTCAAAATCAATAGCAAATGTCTAGATTATGAAAACAAAGAAAAAGGGTGCTCTGTCACAGATATAGATATGAGCACAATTAAACATCCGATGTGTGTTGAAAGTCTCATTACACTGCCCCCCCCCCCCGATTCCTTGACAATATCTTTCTCAGCATTTCAGGAGCTTCATTCTCAGAGAGAAAGGTCTCCTGCTCAAGCCACATCACCACGTGCTCTCACCACATGCACTGAGCCACATACAAATCGCAACTGAGTACATCCTTGTCCCTCGAGTTAACATAAGAGCTTTACCGCAGAATCTGTTCTGTGGTTGCTGTGGAGCTTTTGATCATATCACACGGTCTTCTTGGACAGATGGAGTTAAAGGAATTGTGTTCAGATTTTCACTTTCCAGAGGAAGACTGCGTGATACAATCAAAAACTATCAAACAGCTATTAAATGGACCTTATCTACTTCTAAAAGAATGACTGTTCAATTTAAACTTTTAAGGAAACACAGATTGTTGCTCAGAAAATCAAGATGTCATCATCTATAACTGACTGTTCTATGCTCACATAGCACACATTACAGTGATAATGATAGATTTACCATTTAAAAGGCTTCATAATTTCTGAAACTGTGGGTTCATGATTTCACACAAAGGTAGACAAAACACTCATCTCAGTTTCAGCCAACAAACTGAAGACTCCCCACTCAAATCTCTCTTATTACTGGCCAATGCAAACTGGTTGAACAGGTGGAGAAATCCATATTCACTGCATTCATTATAGTGTGCGAACCTGTGATTACATGTTTAACAAATCCCTTACAACTAAATAGGTAATGAAACTAACAGAACAACTGAGCAAATGAAGTCTGTGGTAGCCTTCCAGCTAAACCATTCATTTTGAGATATTACATTCTTCATCACAGTATGCACATTCATTTATCTTCCATCCATCATGTGAAATGCATCATCCTCTATTCCATCCAGTTCATAGCCTTGTGTGGAAGACTGCTAAAGTCTTGAACAAGGACATCAAATCAGACTTAATGTATCTTATCTTATTATGAAGCTGCTCAATAAAATAACAACAGGAAGCCAAGTCTTGGGTTGGCCTCAGGCAGGTTTTGACCAATCAGGCCTCAAAGCATTACAACTATTACTCAGTGATTTAGTCATTTTCTGTAGGTCAAGGCTCAGACTTTAAACTACTTGAGCACTGAAGTAGAAATAACAACAAGAACAAAAAAATTCAAATCAATCTGTAAGGCTTTTCTTGTTATTTTACATTCTTTAGTCCAAACACAGCACCAGTTTGAGGTCACCGGGATCTCATTTCTACAAGATCACCAGGAATGCTTTTACATTGTCCAGACAATGCTCATGACCCATCCATCTTTCCAGAGACAATGAAGAAATAAACCATTTTTCAAAGTCTGAATTTTTATTTCCCCGGTTTTAGCATCTCTAGTAATGACAGGAACAGGACTGGGAGGGCAGCCGTCTGGCTCGCTTGCTGGAGGACACCCATATGCTGCTGTCATGTTCTCTGTTAATTATAATTAATGGCAGCCATGATACAGCCTCACTCCTTAGTCTCATAAAACCACTCTTAGGATCCCACTTCACTTTCAACCGTGATCTCTGCAAAGACATTTGCAAAGCTTGTGTGCAGGTTTCTAGACAGTTTCTTTTAAGACCAACACTTTGTGGTTTCTCAGACCTGCTGTGAGTTTGATGTTTCTTCAAGGTTTCCTGACACAAGTACAAAAGGTTTACCAGACTAAAGTTTTTCATGCATTTCTTCTGAAATCAGCAGAAGTTTGGGGCTTTGATGTTGGCTGACACGCAGTGTGCAAAGCACGGCAAACATAGTAAACTTTGTTCATGTAGGGCACAACTTTCTGGCTTCTGAATAATTAACGAGGTGGCAGTATGTAGCTGTGTTCTCTGAAGGTCAAATTAGAAAGCACAGGCTGAGTAGATGTGAGGAGGAAACGCAAAGGCATTAACCAATGGTTGCTTCTCCACTAATCTGGATAGATTCCATTAGCATTATCCTTGAATCCAAAACAAAACACTGACACTTGTAATTTATGTGGGTAAGATTCTTTTACAACAATCTGCAACAAGGTCTTTATGTCCTTAGAAGTACATTAGGAAATTTAAGTTACAGTATAGTAGCTTAGCCTGTAAATTTAATTAAAGTAAATTCAAGATTTTTACAGTTTGAAATAGGATAACCCTCTCCCTGCTCTGCTCAGCTTACAATTTCACTTCTAGGTGTGTTGCTTTTGCTGGAACATTGAAACCAATTTTTGTTTAATTGATTCTTTGGCCACTTGGGGCGACAAAACAAACTGTAAACATGACATTTCCCTATAAATTGCTTTGGCTAAAGTGTTAGCATTTAGTTGACTGCTTTCACATCCAGCAGAAACAGAGGAATGTTAGCATTCATTTGGAATTGTCTGTTTGGCCACAGAGAAAACATAAATGTTAACACTGTCTTGGAGAGAAATATTTGACTCTTTAGCTGCTGCATTATGTTCACCAGCTAGTCACTAACTTCGTTTGAGGTTTAGTGCTGGGCAGGTGGCGGACAAACATTTTATTAGAGATTTTTCATGGAAAACAGCTGCCTGCTGGTGGACGACAGGATTACTGAAACAAAAGAAAGTGACATAACTGTAAAGTTGCTGTTTCAATGAGCTAAGCGAGGCTAAAGACAGCTGACAAATTAAAGGAAAAACCAACACACAGTAAAGTGTCTTTGTAAGGTGCTCCCAGAACAGTTTCAGTGCACCTTGGCAGTGATTCTACAAATGATGATGATCACCCTGCAGTCAGAGAAACACTATGATTAGAGTACTAGATGACAAAAACAAATTTGATGAACACCCTGATTAATCATTATAGATGTCTGTGCAAGCAGAGACAATCTAAGTTTGTTAATCTTGAGGTAGAGCGGGACGGAAACGTTGCAATAAAATATGTACAAGTGTGGTTTCAGTTTGGAGGGAATGTTTCCTTTACATTTCCATTTTTATTGTCATCCATTCCGGGTGATTTCATGCTCAAAGCAAAATCAAGCCTAAATTAATCTGTTGGCAGCTGTTTCACATTGTAAACATTTCCATTAGCAGCCAAACCCATCCACATAATGAAATATTGTTCAAAGGAAAATCTATTTCCAAGATAAATTTTTCACCAGCATCTCCACTATATTAATCTTATCACTCTGCATCTAAATATGATGGCACTGAGGAGAGAGCGCCAAAGGCCTGAATATGAACTGATGAATAAATATAAATATTCAAGTAATGAAACTGCTAATTTCTTCAAATGAGAAATAGATACAATGCCTGGGTGGTTCACTTTTTCCAAAAAAAACCGCAAAAGGTGTGTCTGCTCGCAGCTGAAATACTGAGCCCTCGTGACCTTCCCTCTGGCTGAGGTGAAGTGAGAAAACAAGATTGCAGGGAGACGAACGTTGACTCTTAGAAGGTTCATCACCCTGGTGTCCAAATGCACAGTAACTATCTCAAAGGTTATTCATGTTTGATTAGTGTTGATTTCAGGCTGGGGTTGCTGACACTTGTGTGTGGCATGTCCACAGGCAAAATAAGGGAGTTCTGTACTGTGACTGTACATGATGATGAAATGCTGCATGTTTGTGGAATAAAAAAAAAAAAAAGGTGAGACACACACACATCTTTAACTGGGCTGACATTGTAAATTTGTGTTTATACATACTTGTGTTAACTCACACTGCTCTTAATCAGCCTTTCTGCACAACCTACTGTAAATGCAGAGATCAATTGGTTATAATGGGAAACAGCGAACCCTGGATGGATTTTGGACACCGGTCTGTCCTGTCTGTGCTCAAACTGAACATTAAAGTGGACATTCGGACATAGAGGAATCATCTGCTACTGTATGTAGTTGTACTGGATAGTATTTTTTTAAATTAACTTATGTTTGGAGTGTATATATCTGTGACGGATAATGAGTGTAATGCTCCAAGCATGGCACATTTATCAAACATTCAGCTTCACATTCTCCGTTCCACTCTTTAGTTCTCTTTACCATCAGTGGTCACCAGTGTTAAGATGATAGAAATTTGAGTTCAAGGTAAACTTGACTCAAACAAAATTGCATGATTTATTTTGTCCCTTTGAATCTACTAATCAACGCCACTGGAATAAATTATATTACCTACACAGTTTGTGACTAGGCCTTTAATGTATACAGTATCTGCCTGGTTTTATGCATTAAAACACATGAAAGTTGCACTTTACTCTCTTTCTCATACTCACAAACACTTATGCTTTATGCATGAATGCATTGTTAAAGCACACAATGTTTCCACTCTCTTACACACCCATCAACTGATGGTTGTGCAACTTTGACAGGAGTGTACATATTTTGCATCAACACAAAGAAACACTCACACACTACACACTGACAAGTGAGTGGTCAGCTTGGTACATTTTGCATAAGCACACACACACGTGTCTTTAGGCACACACATAAACATACCAGAGGAGACCCTCACCCCTTGTCCTGGCCTCTGTCACAAATGCATCTTGTCGTCAGGCTCTGTGTGACTCCCCTGAGTCGGTTGCCGGGCAACCGTGGCTGTATTAATATGCGTGGGAGAGAGGGAGCAGGGGATACCTCTTGCTTGTGTAGTGAAAGCAACCACGACAGCTTCAGTGTGAGGTGACGGGTTCATTCACAGCACGCCCCTCTCCCCCGTCTCTCTCACTCTTATGCCATCCACTGTTCAGGCTCTGCTCGGTTAGTTAGGGATACACACTCAGCCACTGGAACACGACAAAAAGTATGATAGGTTACAGAGCATGTACAGCAAACCAGGGACTTCCACCGCTTCAGTAGGGTGCCTTTTTCCTTTTTTGCATGCAGCATGGAACAATTAGAAGCCAGGGCATCTTCTAAACATGTTTTACATTGCTGAACATGATAAAAGTTGGATAGAAGAAATGAGCTCTTAAAAAGGGTTGTTGTCTTGGTAGAGGAGACAAGACTGAAAAATCTCTCTTTTCTTGTAAGCTTTCTGGAATTAAGATAAAGGAGGATGCAAATATTCACATGAAACAGCTTTGTTACCCTCCCACCACCATCTGCCCATCATCTAACTCCATTCTTCAACTTGACATCAGCCTTCCACACAGACAAGAGGACGAAGAGGAGGAGAAGAGTGAAGCAGAGGTGGGGAGGAAAACAAAACAGAGAAGGAGGAGGACGAGCTGAAAGGAGGCGGGCAGCACAGTTTCAGCTCTCACGGCTGGGGAGGAGAAACTGACGGCAGCTAGAACTTGGCCACTAGTGAGATGAAATTTGTGGAGGCTGGAACGTTCCAGGGTACAACATCCAACGAGAACTCTAAAACTGAAAGACGAGCCAGCCCTCTCTGGACCCCATGCCCCTCTACAGCTGAAGGATGAGAAGGGTCGACTTTCACCTTAGTTGCCAGGGATGTCTGTGCACTACAGAAAGGCGTCCCCCTCAAGCATGTCCAATGTTCTGTTATTCCTGATGCTTTGCAAGGTAGGTACCACTGCCATCCCACATCAAGAGCTTTTTCATTAAAGTCATCACGATGTGCAGAGTAGCTGCAAACTGTCAGTGCCATTTTTAAATGTCATGACAGTGTGTCCTGTAGCTAGGGATTTATTATGGATTGTGGTATATTCTTCACAAATGTGGTATATTTCCAGTCCCATGTGCTTTAATATGAATCACTAATTAAGGCAGCAGAGACACCCTCATGCTCTTTTGTTTTACAATGAGAGCTGCCATAAGCTGCGGCGGTTATAGTATATGTCCAGAAACATGTCCACATGCTTCTCTGAGTGTTAGACCTCATACATTTTGTTAACAAGTTTAAAAGCTTCTTTTGTAACAGCAGGGCGATGTTAAATCAAGGACCGTCTTTAGTTTTTTTTGTGTATGGAACAATTAATATTTTTCCTGGCTCTACACACAAACTGCTTTTTCTTATTACTGATGAAGTTTAACTTTGTAGTTTTTGTGTCCGTGTGACTATGTGATGGAGGGGATGGGAGCTATTTGCTTTAATTCCGTTTTAAAACAATACCAAAAGCAACTCTGCCTGTTAGCATCTGGAGTCATTGACACACTCAGGATTACTCAAGTGGCAAAAGCTTTTACTCTCCAGTGATCTGATCTGAGGGTTTTAGTTTCTGTTAGGTGTAGCGTTCAGATTTGTTGTCTCAAGTATGCCTTTTTCTGTCTTCCCCTCCCGTTGTCTCTAATTCTCTTTCTGCATGTTTTATATAAATATGCTCCTGGCTGTTGCTGTATGAGTGAAGAGCCAGATGTGAGCTTGCCTCATAAGAGAAACTCTCTTAAGGAGATTCTTCTCATTTGTAACGAGAAATTGTTTATCTAGAGATGCTCCATGAGTCATTTTTGAATCCTGAGTGGCCAGGAGAGCAACAGGCCTGCCCAGATTAATCACAAAAGGAAATGTCAAGTCATAAGAATGTTCAAATGGTTGGAAACGGGCTCTTGAGTGATAAACACTCTGTGCTTTAGAATAGCACGTTGAACAATTAATCAGTAAAAGGTAGAGAAGTGGAAATTGTGGACTATATGTTGGCTGGTTAGCCATCTCTTCATGCAGAATGTTGCAGCCACAGTATGTCAGTATACTTTGTGTCTTTCATTTCTGGCTTGCCCTGGATTATGACAACTCTGATCTCTATCACGCATTGTTCTGCCTGAGTGTTAAACCGACAGAGGAAATCATTATGAGCAGTTACCATAATGATTATGGTGCACTGCAGGATGCCAACACTGACTGCCAGTTGAAAGGAAATGCACTCTGTTAAACACTGTACAGACTGAGGGTGTTGGATGAAGATGCAGTGGAAGGCAGCCACAAGGTTTTCTATGTGACAATGCTGTTTCCTGAGTACCCAGGTTTTAGCAAAGGTTCTATTCCTCTGTCTTCATCAACAACTTTTTCTTTTTCTTTTTTGCTGAGTGGTTGTTTATATCAGCAGCAGCAGCAAGCAGCCATTTCCATACATGAGGGCACATCCAGCGATACCACAACAAGATTTCCATTCAGGTTGAGGGAAGCCCTGTTTCTAGTGCACTCCAGGAGAGGCAATCGAAGCCCAGCGTTACAGATCAGAGGAGAAGGATGCACTCTAATACAGAAACAGAGCCTGGTGGATTGTTTTATGTCCACTAAGAGCACAATGCATGTGGATGAGTGGACACTGCTATGATTCAGAGTCACCACGTGGGATGTTAGCCACTGAAAAGTGCAATTATTTTGATATTTTTACCCTTATAAACAATCTTTTACAGTGTGAAAGGCCTTTTTCTTTATATATTTAATGCATAAATGCAAAAAACATTTCTTGCTTCCCTGCTTTATTTTTTGTGATCAATTCAGATGGTTTCACCTCTTTCTTCTCTGTAATCCATCTATACAAGACAACAGCTAGACGCTGATGTGCTATAAATGATTCCTGGTTGGCGATGATTTCTGCCAAGACATTTTTCCTCTGTCAAACTGACGGACAACACAATCACTAAGTCAAAGAAAAGGGGGAGTTGCGCACTAAAATCTCTACTTTGGCAGAGCTGTTTTAAAAGATTATATTAAATTCAATTAAAGCAACGGATGCCTGCAAATGAGCCATACAAATGTGGGCTCTGTTAAAGTTAATTACAATAAACATCTATGTGACGTTAGATTCATCATTAAGAAACAATAACATGTTTAGAAGAGCTTTTTAAAAGTTGAATTTGTTTTATCATTTGACAGTTTTCTGATGATTTTATTTCAGGTGAATCCAGCACGGAGGGCACAGTACATGCAGACAGCAATCTAAATAGCAAGGAAAATAAACAGTGAACATCATCTAAACTGCATTTTAACAGATCATGCTTGGCTCAACAATATCTTGTAAAGTATCACTACATTAAAGTATTAAAAGATGGTTCTGGATTGTTTTCATGAATTCAAAGAAGCTCCTCTCCCATGAAGTACATCACCCAGTGAGGCTCATTGCACTGCAAAAGGTTTGGCTACTGAAGGTGTAAAAATGTTTATCTTGCATCTAAGAAAACAGATAGACAAGCTTTATGTTTAGTCTGCTTTAGCTTACTTGCTTTACCCCTGCTAGTTGGCATATAAAACCCTGTGACCTGCAAAAGATGTGATTTACTCCTGAGAGGTGTCTGGATGCCAACTTGTGCAAGTTGCTGTGGCTGTGGGCTAAAAACATGCAGCTAGTTTCTAATACTCCACCTTAGGCAACACAAATCAATGTACAGTACATGCATATACACAGACTCCTGAAAACTCACACTTGTGCACTCAGAACTTGTATCAGATCACAGCAGTTCCACAGCTGAAAAGAATCTACAAATGACTAGATTCTGGTGTAGGGATTTCTAACTGTGCCACAACGAGCTGCCAGGGTTATTCCTCTGAGGAATAACATGTCACTAACATGTCAGTGTAGCGGAGAGTTGTTGTCTGCTTTAGAAGTACAGTGTTATCAGGGCTGCACTCATTCATTCTGCTGTAAGCGTTCTGTTATGAGAAGCTCAACTCATGCATAGCAACAAGTGTTACCTCAAAAAGAATAAGATGAAATTAATGCAGCCAAGTTTGCTTGACAGTATTTTATGTGAAGTGTAAAGCCAAAAACTACTGTGTGGGTGCAGCAGCATGTATTTGTACATCACATCTTATAACATAGTGATAGTACCTGAAAAATGAGTAAAGTATGGAATGAGATAGAAATCGTATCCACCGTATGTCACAGGAATTGAACAACAGCTCACCAGAAATTTCAAAATAAGTGTCCACAGAACATCTAAAATAAAAAGTGTTCTTGATTGTTAGTCGTAAAGTGCTTAAAAATTTATTTCATTGAAGAACTTTTCTTAGTTTAGCCTCAATTTATAGTAAAAACAAACAAACAAACAAAGGAACCTAATCAATTAACTGCCCTAAGAATAATACATGTGTTACTAAAACTGGCATTGCTACCATAGGCAGCTGTTCGTCTGCTTAATGTAATCCATTTAACTTTCACAGTATTTACTTAAAACACATATTAGCATGATGATCAAATCAAAAATGTATATTTTCTTAAATACTTTAATTATTTTATTGCTTCACCAACCATTTCACCAATAGCTTAATGTTTTATTCTTATTATCGCTGGCTGCCATACACTGTGCAAAGACCAAAAAGAAAGAATGGAAAAATATTAAAAATAAATAACCAGTTATAGTGGCTAATACATGAACTGTGTTTTCTCTCTCTCTGTTTCTATCTTTTATCTCCTTGCTCCAGATTGGTCTGAGACGAAAACTACAGGCTTTTCCAGGGAAAATGGTAAACACTGTCTACAGTGATGAGGAAAAGGGAATCCAAGACAAGGAAAGTAAAGAGGAGACGATCTTGGCCATGTTAGGCATCATTGGGACCATTCTCAACTTGGTTGTCATCATCTTTGTTTATATATACACCACCTTGTAGGTCACCAGCTCAGTGCTCACCTGTGCAATCACAGCTAAAGTATGTTGACTGATACGAAGATGAAGACAGGAGGAGGAAGGATGAGGGTGTTCTTCCCTAAAGGTGAAATGAATCTAAGACTGTGTGATTGCTATATGGCATTCATGCTGCATCACTTCAGACAACTAAGACTATGGGAAACTGATTTGCTCCTCTCCCATTTACATGTAGAGTTATGTAAAATATCTGGACACTTCTAACTTGTACATAAATGCATAAAGCTATGAGAGATGTTCAAAAGATGACACTTTTACCCTCACAGGGGAATGAAAGAGTGCAGAGGGAGCAAGGACCCTTTTTGAAGATATTTTTCAGATGTTCTTATTAACTGAATAATGGAAATCTCATTTGCTTACATGGGATGAAAGATAAAGATGTACAGACAACATAAATACAGGTATCGTATTAGCTATTTATTATTGTTTTTGAGTAAATACTACATCTATTTCTATAAGCTATAAACACACATATTAAAGAAAAGTATTTATTAAGTAGAATTTCTTTCTAATTTCTAACAAAACAAACAAAAAAGACTGATTGGTGTTTTATTTCATTGGGGACTCACCAGATAATGAATTATTGTACATTCACACAGTTCAAAGTTGTTTAATATAAATTTACTAATAATTGTCATAAAATGGTTGAAAGATTAGACCAATTAGTAGAAAATTGTTTCATTATAATTTACAATTAGATGTTTTTAATATATCACTTCAGCATTTAAGGGTCATCAACACTACAATGAATCCATTTATTTAAAAAAAATAATTTTATCATTTTGTCAAAGTCTCAGCACTGCAGGCTGAACAGCATGTTCTCCGAGGAGATCTGAGAATAAAGGTGATCTACACATTGGCATCAGGTAGAAGCAACTATCTACAGTATACAGTTTATTGAGTTCTGTCACAAATTTCAGGATGCACAAGTAAAACAACAGGCACATTTACATGAGACATAATCTGATCACACTGTAGCTTGTGCATCCATAAAGGTTTACTGAGCTTGAGAGCAAAAAACTGTATTTTTCAGGCACTGATCTCAGTTTGTGCATCATTTTTTCAAAACAGAGTTGTGCATAATGACAGTTTGCCTTAAAATGAGGAAATTGTTACTATATTTCCATTATATATAAAATTGTCAGGTTATTACTACTTTGTGAAAGGTTTCACTACTTGTACTGTATATATTATATATACCTATAATACTACTCCAACTGTTTTTTAAATTGATGAAAGGACAGTTATTGTGCAATTTTATACAGGTCTCATGCTCTTTTCTTAAAGAACATGCAAAACCTTTGGGCCCTATTTTGAGGATCCACGGGATCTGATCAAGTATTGACGCATGCAGTGTTCATTTCGATAATTTGAAGAAAAGGATAAATGGTTCAAGCATTTGTGCAAGTAACAAAAAGGGCTTACTTGAGCTCCTCATTAAAGCAGGGGTGTTTTTTGGGCATAACATGCAATTGTCCAATCAGTGTGTAATCACAACCCTTTTAAAAGATGTGTCAGCTTGAATGTTTGGTGAATTGATAACATACTGACATCAGTAAGATTTTCCACTGAGGAAACAGATTTGCTCGTGCATGAAGTGAAGGCTCACGATCGCTATTATCTGTTATAAATACATATATATTGGTGTGCACAACACCCAATGAACACAATGTCATCTTAACTTTTTTACATTTTGCATGTCCTGTGCAGTGCATCCCAGGGTATAACAAGCACAGTGCATGAGCATTGTGCATGCACTTAGACAGGCACACATCACAACAGGGTCAATATACCCATTAACTAGCAATAATGACACAGATCTGGTTTTTGCTGGTCAGTGGGACAGTCACTTTGTTTCGCCTTCATAATACTAACATGGCCAAAATTTACCCGGACACACCTGCCAGCACGAAGTCAACAGACTGCTGCTTGGTATAAAGGCAATGCAATGTGGCACATGTCATGAAATTAGGAAACCCAGGCACGCTACCTATGCCGCACGCCATGCGTTTGTTGCAAGACAGGGCCCTTTTTAAACTGTGACTGTGAAATCTGAGTTATGTCCAGACCTGGGTCAGCATTCCATTGTTCTTGTTTTCTATGGTGTAAAATGGGCCTGGGTTTTGCCACACTGGACAATGCTGTGAATGTAATGATCACAAGGCATTTAAGAGTAATTTTTGACTAACTGAAATGACACTGTGTCATTTGTCTTCAGTGTTTTCCACGCCATACCCCTGGGAGTTGAAGCTAGTTTGAACAAAAATGCATTCAAAAAAATTTCTGCATTCATGGGTTGACCAGAATCTCAGTCAATATGTTTCAGCTTGTACAAACTGAATTGGGTCAGGTCAGGTTATGTGACAGTTCGAACTGAACTTAGTTTTTTTTTATGTGTAATAAGTCTACAAAATCATTTCTATCTAATTGCATTGAACATTATTTGGAAGTTAGAGATTTGCATTAAACGACTAGTTCAACATTTTGGGAAAACACTGAGGTGCTGTTAGGTGCTGCCCTGCCACCACCATGGAATGATGGGGTAGCATAGTGTGCGTTGCTTCCATACTGCAAAGTTATGTCGGTCAACCAGGTATACATATTTTTCCATACTAAGATTTTGGACATACTACTTGTCTTGCACACACATTTTAGTCTATTACATAGTATGCAAGTAGGTAATGTTGGGCGCACCCCAAGACTAGCTGTTTCCTTATGTTTCCAGTCTGTATACTAAGCTCAGCTAAGCAGCTGCTGGCTTGTAGCTTGATATTTAATGGTCATATATGAGAATGGAAACTCTCTTCTCAACTATTTCTTGGCAACAAAGTGAAGAACTGTATTTCCCAAAATGTTGAACCAGTCCTTTAAAGAAAAACAGAATTGAATGCAGTAAAAACGCAATACAGTATCAGATGAGAAAAGGTCTATACAGTAAATGTACAGTGTGTAGAGAATGTAAGGTGATGACAGCCTACATTGTGTGCAGAATATTATATTTGTGCTTGTCAGAATGTGTGATTTCAGAAAGTGCCTGTGATCTGCTGTATCTTTATGACGCCAATTGTCACATGACTGGGAGAGTTTGAGAAGTTCGCAGGAAAAGATGTATTCCCCTCACTCCACTGCATTTATAATGGGACTGGATTTATACAGTACTTCATGACTTAGTTAATGAAGCCAGCCATTTTTGTCTTGGGTGAGTTGCTTCTATTCGTCTAACAGAATAAAGAAAATGAAAGCTCAGTAAGCACATGGACAAGTCTTGTGAATGTATTCATATTTGATGTTAAATTATTCCTGTTATCCTTATTGTTTACTCATCTTTCCTTAAGCTACAGTATGTAATTTTAACCTATTATGTTTTATTTATGTGTATACTAAATCTATTTAAACTCATGAAATTGTCTTTTGTGAGTGATAATTGGAAGGGTTAAACATTTTTTAGCCTACAGTTTTGTTAAAAAACATTAAATAAATACATCCTGAGACTGATTTACTAGGACATACCTTGGTGTGGAAGCATGGATATCAATGGTAAAATATCCAGTTTTATGCATCACCACTCTAGCATCCGTGCATCAGCTGCATTCAGAATCAGAATCAACTTTATTGGCCAGGTGTGTTGGACACAAGAGGAAAGTGATTCTGGTCAAGGGCTTTCAATGTGTATGTACAATGCTCTTCCATAAGGCAACAAGTAGAGAAGTAAACAAAATCCATCTGCCCATCCATCCATCCATTTTCTACCGTTTATCTGGAGGCGGGCTGCAGTGGCAGGTTCTGTAAAATAGACGACGTGGAAGGATTCTGAGGTGTTCACAGGCCAGATGAGATATATAATCTCTCCAGTTTGTTCTCGATTTTACCGACACTCCTGAACAAGACCCCAAGATATTTAAACTCCTTCACTTGGGGCAGCAAATCACTCCTAACCTGGAGGGCGAAGTCTATAATTTTCCAGAAGAGCACGAGATAAACAAGATAAGGAAAGAAGAAAAAAATAAGATTGTACAATAGGAAAACAAAAAATAAAAGTACTTATAAATAAATATACACACAGTTTAGATGCAGTTTTTCAGATAGATATATACAAAAGTATATCTATAAGGTACTGTACTAAGGGTTGTTGTTCTGTTACACAGTCATGGATTAAGTATTCATCAGAGTGATGGCCTAATGGAAGAAACTGTCCTTGTGGCGTAGAGTGACCTGTAGCGCCATCTAGAAGGGAGGAGTTCAAACAGTTTGTGTCCAGGATCTGAGGGGTTTTTGGTTTATACTGACATTTCCTGTGTCAGTCAAATACAAACACTCCTTGAAGAAAATAATAAAACAAAATGGGACTTTTTCTACCTAACCAGACCAGAGTTCACTTGGGATTGCAGTGGAAACCAAATTCCTCTCTCATTTAGAGACCGGAGAGGATTTCTCTAATAAATGTGTCCTATATAGATTTCCTGTCACAAAGGCTGCACATATCCAGCTGCCTTTCTCCACATTTATTCATGCACGGAAATAAACCCTGTGATCAAAATTGGGGAACGGACTTGAAAGCCGTGACAAATCTCGATATAAATGTAAAACTTGTGAGAAGAAAATGTCAAAGTGTCAAGTTCAGCTTGACTGTTAGAGATTACAAATCTCTTTTGAATGAAAAATGTTTTCATTGATCAACCTGTCGGCCATGTCAGCTGCTTAAAATCACAAATGATCAGGATCCATGGTGGGGATCTTGTTGTTCCGAGAAAGTGAAGAGGATTAGCGAGGTACAGGAAATGAAAAGAAAAAAAAAATTTATGATCTTTTGAAACATAGAAGTACCATTAAAATTTATACAGTATAAACTCACTCAAGAAGAAGAGAATGCACAGCCCTGTCTCACATGACAATGTACAAAAGTTGGTCCACAGAGCTTTTTGTATTGTGGCCCAGTGTCCATGTTCATTTTCTTGTTCTTGATGGTTTATGGTGATTTGCAAACAACAAAATGGTGCATTACTGCCACCAGCTGGACTGGAGTGTGGATTGTGACGCTAAAGATTAATGTCCATTGAAGGCATAAAGTTTTGAAATATAAAATGTTAAAAACACTAACAAGGTGTTGGTTGGATGGGTCCCTCAAACATTTGACTTTCACACAGACAACTGGAGATCAAGTCCCATGTCTGGCATTGAACTACAACCGTGTAGTTTCTGTGCCTAAACTTAACCAGGTATAATGAATGCCAGTCATTGCCTTTTGTTTTTGCTGCCAGAAAGACGTTGTCATGTCACAAGTTTCAATCCAGAAAAATGTTACAATATCACAATTTCCGAGGTGTTATTGTGGGATAGCACGTTTTGCATTAAGGACCAACATTGTTATACATTTTGGTGTGAGACTTCATACTGTAAGCACAGCTTTGATGCAAGTAGTTTCCATCTCTGCCATATTTGCATGATTTGAAAACTATAGACTAACACCTGACCAGCAGAGAGTAATGAGAAAAAGTCATTAGTCCCCCCCATTAAGTGACAAACAAATTGTTCTCATATTGTTGTGCTTATATTAAAATCATAAAACATATGCATGCAACACACCCACACATTTATGTCTTCTTTCCCTCACACATACACACACATTGAATTTCCATCACTGACTTGCATTCATTTCCTGCAGACTTGCTCTAACCTCAAGTCCCCAGCGTAACTGTGTAAGCAAATGTACGTCCCATCAATATGAGTAATACCAGGCCACACACACGTTTATTTTTGATTCTTGTGAGGACTTTATGTACCCTAACCCAATGCCTAAACTTAACCCTGATACCACCACCCCCTCTTATACAACCCAGGCCCCTAGCCTAACCCTAACCACTCCATTTCTATGGCCCTAAACATAACCCTAAAAACCACCCATCCGCATTATCCCGGCCCTAACCTTAACCATCTAGGGCTCGATGCCTAAACTTAACCCTCACACCTACACCCCGCTTAAACCCCGCCCAGACTTTTACCCTGACCCTAACCACTCCATTTCTATAGCCCTAAACATAACCTGAAAAACCACCCATCTATATGATTCCGGCACTAACCTTAAGCACCTAAGACTTAATGCCCAAACTTGACCCTTACACCGCCATCCCTCTTAAACCCCACCCAGACCCTTACCCTGACCCTAACCACTCCAGATCTCCGGCCATAAACCACCCCTCCAAGGTTTCCCGGCCCTAACCATAACCATCTAGGACCTAGAACCTAAACTTAAACCTTCTTAGGCCCATCCCACACCCCTACCCTGACCCTAATCGTTCCATATCCCTAGCCTTAGAACACAATTCTTATCCTCCCATCCACATCACCCTGGACCTCATCTTAACCAATTAAGAACCAATTGGGGAGTCTGCAGTTCCGGGTTGCAAATGAGAGCAGACGTCTTTACTGCTCCTCTTGTCTGTTCTACGATTTTTCACATCTTCTACATTTTCAAGTCTTTGAACAAATTCTACAACTATTAAAATGCCTCCAAGAGGGAAAAGAGCTAATAAATCAGAAGCGAACGAGGATGTTGAAGCAGAAGAGGATTATATTTCAGCGGCGCAAGTAACAGAGATGTTGAGTCAGCAGAAGCAGATGTACACCGCACTGTTGAGCCAACAACAAGACAACTTCAAAGGTTTTGTGCAACTACTTATGGAGACAAATAACAAGAGACTCGACGACATGACCAGAGAAATACAGGAGATAAAAACGAGTTTGCAGTTTACCCAGCGAGATGTGGATGTGATTAAAGCAGCCATGGGTGAACAGAAAATACAAACCAAGGAAACAAGGGATGATGTCTACA